CGAGTCCCGCATCGGGCTCCCTGCTCAGCGGGGGGGCTGCTTCTCCCTCTGACCCTCCCCCCTCTCATGTGCTCTCTCATTCTCTCTCTCACAAATAAATAAAATCTTAAAAAAAATAAAATAAAATAAAAATAAATTTGGGGGGCACCTGGGTGGCCCAGTCGGTTAAGCGTCTGCCTTCGGCTCAGGTCACGGTGGCCCAGGGGTTGAAATGCAGCCCGTATCTCATAAGCTTTCTGACCCTGAGCCAGTTAACTGTCTGGGCTCAGGCTCCCCATCTATTAAATGAGGGCGCTATTCGCACTAACCTTCCAGGGTTAGGAAAGACTAAGTGAGAAAATTCCTGGTGTTTTTAGAACAGAGCACCCACAAACAGGAAGTGGTCAACAATTAGTAGCTGTCATTACTGGATAATTGAAACGATTGTCTTGACCTCACCCCTCTAAAATCTCCCATAGCAGGCACCGCGTAAGTACCTGAAGAATGGTCAATGGCGTGAATGATCTAGCTCAGGCGGCCCAGAACCGGAATTCTGCTGGAAAAGGGGAAGTCTTCCGTCTGGACCACCTCCTACAGTCTTCTCCCACACTGCACGCGGACCCCCAGACTGCCCCCCTCTGCCTCCTCAGCCAGCCAGCAATGGACCACCCACATCCCAAAGAGGATTGACCCTCCATCTAGGTCACTGGATTAAAAGTTATTTCTTCCCCCTGATTTTCTAGGCGATTGGACCAAAGTGAATTTAGTCTGTAAATTACAAGGATAATTATCCAATTCCTGTCCTCAGTATTAACTTTGGGGGCAGCCAGTGGGTAGTTTTTCGAGTGATACTTACTTTTCTCTTTCACTATTTTGGCCTTCTTGCAAGAACTTGGTTCCTTTCTTTTGTTTAAACAAATTATTTTGTTTAAACTAATTATTCCTTTTCCTTTTCTGAGTATAAAAGTTTTCAATGTTCCCCAAAGCAAATTTTAAAAATAATAGGTAACAGGGGCGCCTGGGTGGCTCAGTCAGTTGGGCGTCTGCCTTCGGCTCAGGTCATGATCCCGGGGTCCTGGGATCGAGCCCCGCGTCGGGCTCCCTGCTCAGCGGGGAGCCTGCTTCTCCCTCTCCCACTCCCTCTGCTTGTGTTCCCTCTCTCGCTGTGTCTCTCTCTGTCAAATAAATAAAATCTTAAAAAAAAATAATAATAGGTAACAACTATAGTGTGTACTATGACCGAGCACTACACTAAGCATTTTACATGTATTCACTCATTTAATCCTTAACACAACCCAAGAAGACCAATACTATCATCATCAGCATCATCCCCATTTTATAAAGGGTAAAACTGAGGCACAGAGAAGTGAAGTAACTTATACAGCTAGTATGTGGTAGAGCCTGGGACCTAAATCCGGGTAGTCTGGCTCCAGTCTACACTCAGCTACGAACATATCAAAAAGCACCAAGAAGAAAATCAAAATTACTTGTACTGCAAAGTTGAAATAACACTTAACGTCTTGATATATTTCCTTAATCGTTACTCTAAACGTTAAATGTGTTTTTTAAAAATAAATTTGGGGGGGGGCGCCTGGGTGGCTCAGTCGTTAAGCGTCTGCCTTCGGCTCAGGTCATGATCCCGGGGTCCTGGGATCGAGCCCCACGTTGGGCTCTCTGCCTCGCAGGAAGCCTGCTTCTCCCTCTCCCACTCCCCCTGCTTGTGTTCCCTCTCTCACTGTGTCTCTCTCTGTCAAATAAATAAATAAAATCTTTAAAAAAA